TTTTCAAGGTCAGTTGAAGGTCAACTTAATTTTTTTAAATAGGAAGGCCAATTTTTTATTGTATCTTCTTTTTCTTACCAATTAATTTGAACAACTTTTGTCTGAAACTGATTGTTTTACTTGCCTGATACTTTTTGAAATAATTAAGAAAAACTTGGTAACTTTTTCAACATTTAACTCACGATATCTCGCTAACTATTCGTCGAAAGAAAAAATAGTATTAGACTTTTTTACTTTATTTTATAATATATATTACTATCAAGAATATGTTACTATAATAGTGCCCTAACTTTTGTTAACTTATCGACCTTCGGAAATTTCAAAATTATTAAATTATAGATAGTATAATATAGATAGACTGCGCATCCTTATGGGCGCGCTGAAGACTACATTAGAGGACAGAGCTATTGTGTGAGTGAGGCTCTCTCTCTCTCTCTCTCTCTCTCTCTCTCTCTCTCTCTCTCTCTCGTTCTGGGTTAGAAGAGGGGGGAAAATGACACAAGGGGAAAGGTAACGTTGGGTGCGGTCCAACGACCGCTGCAAATGCTTCGAAGCGTTTCTCTGTCCTATTCTATTTTTCGGATAAGTCGTAACAGTGATTAAAGCAACCAGAGCTTAAATCTAGCAAGTTCAATTGATTTGCGAACCATAACCTTTGTATAGCTCGTACAACTGTTCTCCTATTCTCCTCTTCGGCTTCCCTCACCAAGACGCATGTTAGACAGAGGCACACTCACTCAGCTATCGCTCCTCTCACTTTAATGTTGCCTTCAAGTCCTCTCACGAGACGCGCAGTTTATCTGTATAAGTCTATGGACTTAACGAAGCGCAGGAGTTGCCGTATGCGCGCGCGCGCGCGCGTGTCCGCTCGCGAGACGCGAATTCTCTCCGGCCGCCGCGCCGGGGTGAAAAAAATGTATTTCGACTGCGAGTTCATAAAGCAAGAAAGTGAGCCTGCACTCCGGAAATTGAAATGAAGAGCGAATTTTGTCTGTCTGGTTTACCCCGTTAAAGAGCTCGCCGCCACCGCCGATATCTTTCGCTGCCTCTCTCTCTCTCTCTCTCGTGCGAATAAAAAAAAGAGGATGAAGCGAATTCCGGGATAAAACGCGAGTGCGAGGGGAAGATTCTTGCGAGGAGAATTATCGTCGTCGCCGTCGCGGCGGGGAAATTTAGAGAACGACTCGATCCCGAGCATCGGGATGCGCACATTGTGCCGGCCGAGCGCGTGCTGAGCGTTGAGCTGCGAACGGAGGAGGAGGAGGAGGAGGAGGAGGAGGAGGAGGAGGAGGAGGAGGAGGGAAGGGGCAGAAGAAAAAACCGCGCGAGAAAAAGCGAGAGATGTCCGAGACAAGGCTGTCTCGCGTGTTACACGAGGGCGCATCGAGTTTCTTGCTTCGCGACGAGTTCGACATAGCGGCGCGCGGATGCAAAAGCGCGTCACGGAAATCGATGGACGCCAGTCCGAGCGGGTCGTTTTTCTCATGAACGCCCGACAGATATTAATTCCCAGCAGCTGTCACCCGTCCCCTCCCTCCGGGGGGAGGGGGAGGAAGAGGGGGCTGGCGATGTCGCGTCGTCTCCTTTCCAGAATCCGCGCAAAAGGGAGAGACTTCCCTTTGACTCGCCGTTAATTAATTTTGCAAGTCGCCGGGCGCGGAAAGCGGTTTTTCCTTCCTCTCTCGCTCGCCGGCGCGCGCGCGCGTGCAACCGGCAAGAGAAAGCGTGGTCGATTCTTCCGACAGCTTCCGTATTACCGTGTCGACGCACCGCTGGCCGGCGGTAAGAGATTGCATTGTCGATTACAAAGTCCGCTTCCCTTGATAACGAAACCGTAATGGCGAGAGAGCGCCCGACGACTTTTAATTTACTCGTTTCGGCGCGCCGGACTCGATAAAACCGCCGTCGTGGAGTCGACCGCGCTGAATGGATGGCGTAAATGCCGAAAATAGAGAGGCGGATCGTGTGCGGGTCACGAGACGGTGAGAGAAACTGCGAAGCTCGACGGCGGCGGCGGCGGCGGTGGCGGCGGCGGCGGCGGAAGTGTTCCTGGCCGATGACACGCCGCTGTCAAAGGAGCTTCCCGCCAGTCCAAAACGCAATGTTCTTTCGTATCTAGGTTCGAAATCGCGTCAAGCTGAAGAATCCGAAACCGATGCGACTCGTCTTGGCTGACTGACAAGTAGGGATGCAACGATAAGTCGATAATATCGAAATATCGATATATCGAGAGACAAATATCGAATATTTATCGATACTTTTTGTATGCCGATAAAATCGACATATCGATATGAATTTTACCGATTTTCGTATTTTTCAGTTACAGCTCTGGGGGCCTATTACGGGGTTTTCTACGATCGAGATGAAAATTACAAAAGTGAGTGAATTCGTTAGAATATATGTTATGCAATTGCTCGATGTCTAGTAAATTCACTCACTTTTATCATTTTCACCTGAATCGTTGAACCGTAATAGATCTCTCGCTCCATGTATGTGGTGATCTCCGGCAAATGACTGCGGTTCGTTATATATTTTCTAATAAGAATACGACAATAAATTGTATGAAGGTAAACATTTTTGAAAGATCTTTTCAAATTTTTCGTGCATACCCTTTATATGCATACATTTTTTTTATATAGACATCGACATAAATATCGATATTTTTCAAAATTATCGATACCGTTATCAATGTTTTGAGAAATCGTCGCACCCCTACTGATAAGACTCCGCGTCGCGTGCAACGTTCCGGAGATTCGCCGCTAACTTTGAGCCGCAAGTTGGTTATTTTCAGATGCAAGAAACGCAAAAAAGAAAGATATCTCACGGATACGTTCTGACCTCTCCCCGTTTTCGCATAACGAGAGACAATTGTGCGCGACGAGAGATAACAGAGAGACGGATACACGCGAGTAACTGTCGCGGCATAAATAAATACCGAGAGCGTGAAGTTTGCGAGAATCTCGGGCTGCGTTTCGGTGGGGTTTGAAACGGGGCGCAACGGAAACACGGGCGGGGGGATCAGCCGATAAAATATGCCGAATCGCGTTGCGATGCAAACTTATTCAATTAAAGCCGATCGAAGTGGACGCGGCGAATCTCCCTCTGGCGAGCGGTTGCGCGTCGAGCAGACAATAACTCCGCTTCCATCGTCTTCCTTCCACCGACGTCGGATCGACTCTCGTTTTTGGCAATAACAACCGCGCGCGCGGACATGTACTCGGCCCCTCCCCCCCCCCCCGCCCACGCCCTTCTTGTCTTTATTCCCAGACACGCTCGCTCGCGGAGGCGTCTCTCCGGCGGCAGTCGGCCGTCCTTTTTGTTCCTCTCGCGAGCTCCCGTAGATCGAGCGACGTCTCCGCGCGTCTACCGTTATTACGAGACGGGACCTTTCCGAGTCTGCTGGAATTTTTATGCCTCGCGAAAAGTCACGGCCGAGATGGCGTTTGCCGCTCGACGGCGGATAAAATCTCTCGCCCGATCGTTGACTCGCGCTCGTGACATCCTTTCTCTCCATGACTCGCGTCGCGTCGCGTCGTCGGAAATATGATACTGATGAAAAATCGTGCGCGTGCCCGAGCGGAGGAGGGAAATTGCGACAACAATTTCCGCGGGAGAGAAGCAGAACGGCGAGCAGCTTTTTTTTTCTTCTCGCTCGGAAGAGAGCACGACGATCGAGATCGTCGAGCGGGTCTCTTCACGACGCGAGATATCGCGAACTTGAAGATACGCGAGGGAACACCGCGGAGCGACCAGGTGCGCGCGCGTCACTTGGTCAAACTTTGCGAATCTCGGCGGTCATCTCCGAGGCGAGCCCCCTCCCCGGGCGACGACGACGACGACGATGTGAACCGATCGCGACTCGAGATTACATATCTATTGGCGCTTCGAAGCGGGAATTCGGCTTTATGCTCGCTGATAAGAATCGTACGGTCCAGTTTGCCGAGGACTATCGAGTTTTCGCCGGAGAGCCGCGTTTCCGTTCCTCCTCTCCCTCGTCTTTCCTCGCCATCGCGATTTAAGGAACAAACGACCGGCTACGCTGTGGGCGTGTGTGTGCGCACTCGGGTGTTTACCGATACGATTCTCCGATAAGATAACCTTAGCGGATAAAAAATCAACGCGGGACAACGAGTCTCCTCTTCCATCGGCTCAAATATTCCATGATTTTCAATTCCCCAATGTACGCGAGCGAGCGCTCTCTCTCTCTCTCTCTCTCTCTCTCTCTCTCTCTTTCTCGTTCGAGAGAGCTGCAAGGCGCCGCGCCTTTCTCGCTTACGTTGCTCTCGCATGTGATCTTCGGGGAGATCAAAGTGCTTCTCGTAATATCGTAAATAATGCAGACGCATCCGCTGTAACGGGTAGTCATCGAATCGCTCGCGACGTTAACAAAATGAAAAATGAAGAGTGGCTGGGAATTGTTGCATTGCGTGTTGTTCCAACAGCTCGACGCTATCGGATAACACGGCGCGATGCTCGGTAAAATTTCCGAGATATTTCTGAAAAAGCCGATCTCTCTCTCTCTCTCTCTCTCTCTCTCTCTCTCTCGAGAGAGAGAGAGAGAGAGAGAGAGAACATCTTTCGGATATTGGAATTCTCCTTCGTGAAGACAAATCTCTCGGATACTTACTCGACGAAAGGCCGGAGAAAAGAGTCACATTGATTTCCACGCCCGTTATAAATCCCGAACGGACGGCACGGTAATTTTGGAGCACGTCCCCGCAGCTTTCCTACTCGTCGGAGGATAAGCATAAAAAAAGATACTGAGCCGATAGCGTCTCCTCTCGACGGAGGCGACCCGCACGGAGTCTCCCCGAGGATCCCCCGAGATTGCCGCGCGACGATTTCTATTTCTCCGCTTCTACGTCCGCGAGCTCTCGCGATCGCCGACGTCGCGTACGTTGCAGCGAGCCGGGAATCGGGAAGGGGGGAGGGGGGCGGGGAGAGCGTGTATCCAGGGTATCTCTCTCTGACATTCGCTCTGTGTAAAAACTCAGTTGTACCTAACAGGGGTATTGCGTCGGAGACCTGGGGCAGGGTCTCGGCGACGAGGTTCAGGAACACCGTCAGCGATAGCAAGATGGTCACTCCTGAAACAGTCGTAGCCCACCTGTGCTCAATGATCCGTTCTCGTTCGTCGCGTCCGGGTCGCGAGCGGATCGCGACAAGATCGCGCGCGCGCGCGCGCGCGAGCAGCGACCTTCTTCGCTCATGTCGATCGAACACCGCCCGTTCCTCCTTCCCCTTCGCCCGTCGATCGCGCCGGCGATCGTCGGCCAAAGAGAGAGAGATCAAGCCGGAGCTGAACCCGCGTCGATGAGGAACGACCGGGAACGAGAGAGCGGGAAAAAGCGGCGGGGCAAGGGCGAGGAGAAAACGCAGTGATCGCAGGGGTTGGGGAGGGGGGGGGGAGGGTAAGGGAAGAAGAAAATTTTCGACGTCGCGGGGCGGTCGATCGCGCGAGCGGACGATTTTCGAAACTGCTGCTGCAGCGGCTCGCCCCGGTGGAATTGTCGACGGAAACCTCGCGGGAGCGGTACCTCCTTGCCGTTTTATCGGCGATGTTTTCTCGATAATCTCGGAACACAGACCGACCACTTGGTCCCGCAAGGTTCAGCTCCGGCCGAAATTCGTTCCGCTCCGCTCCGCTTCGCTTGGCCTCGGATCCGGGTCGGGATCGAGCGGCCGAGACGATATCTCGTTAAAGACAAACAATGTCGGCGCATCGCGCACGCGCGCGCGCACCTGAGAAACTTGCATGCAACGTCCGCGCGCACACGTACACGGCGGTACACGAAGTCGCAAACGAGGCGCGACGTTGATACTTAATGCTAATTGGATGCTTCGGAGTCAGCTCGGGAGAGTGGTAGGACGCGACGCGTTCGGGCTCTCTCGGTTCACGTCGCGACCGACTCTCTCCGGCGCTTTAAACCGCCGCGGCGGAGGGTCTCGATATTCTCCCTCTGTGTAAGTGCGTGTGTATTTGTACATACGCGCAGGTGACGGAGGAGAATCTAATTAATTATGATCGGCGATTATCGGCGACGACGCGACTTCGCCGGCGGACGCCGCGGCGGAAGTAAGCGTGATCAAAGGACTCGGCGAATAAAATGAGAATTCCGCCATTAGCTCGCCATTACCGAGAACGGCGAGCGATTACATTTTCATAGAGAGCATCGCTGATAGCTTAATTTTCCACAGTTTGCTCGGTTCGCCTAGTATCGAGCCACGTCATCGGCCGAAAATTCGTGCTCGGAAATCGGCGCTCCCGATTTCCGAAAGTTATTATCAGGAAAACGATCAAACGCCCCGGGCGGCGCCATTATGCTCTTTCTCTCTCTCTCTCTCTCTCTCTCTCTCTCTCTCTCTCTCTCTCTCTCTCTTCGCAAGAACAATGCAGCGCGAGAGCCGGCCCTCTTTTCCTCTCGGCCGAATTACGAGTTATGGGCATGATCGCGGCGGCGAGATCGGTTTTTATCGATTTTTATTTATTGATAAAGTCGCGCGCGAGCACGGGCGCTGTTTCCGCTCTCACGGCAGGGCGGAATTTCGTTTTAGCGAATCTCCGATGCTGTTACGTTCACCGGGGTTCGTGTGCCAGGGACGGTTTAGCCATCGACATCGGCGACCGGCACGTTCGCCCCCTGGAAAATTGTTCTCCATTGTGCGATTTTGCGGCGCCGCGTCGCATCGCGGCGACGTCGGTGATGTGGCCGAACGATTCGTGTCGCAGCCGCTTCTTCGAGTTTCGATCGAGCGTCGGTGTATCCGTGAAAAATCCAAGCGCGAGATCCGCCCCCGCCAGCTCGATAGCTCGAGCGGCTGACTCTGGCCGTTGTTGTCGTAACTTTAGAGGATGTTCTCTCGTGACGAAGGAAATCGGAAAAGCTAGAGCACCGGGGATTAAATGTCTCCCTTGTCTCTGTGTTGTTACGTCTACTTTTTATACCAGGGTGACGATAGGTCCGATGTTGCCTCGCTTTTTGCTCGATCACTGTCGTCCAGCGATTATTTGCCCGATAAAACGCGTCCGATAAAATTATTATTATTATTATTATTACTGTTATTGGATGTCGCGCGACACAAGAAATGGCCAGTCGCGTAATTTGGATTTGCGATTGCTCGAAACGACACGAGCCGATATATTCCGGCGTGGTAACTCGAAAACGAGAAAAATTGGCACGCTTGCAAAAAAAGAGGGGCGGTTGGGAGAGAATGCGGAGTTATTTATCGGCATTGAGTCGAGTTAAAAATAAAAAAAGGGAAAAGTGAGGGAGAACACTCGTGGGGAAATATTCATACGATAGCATGATGGAGCAGAGAGTTTATCCTGGCGAGTTGGTGTGCATTTTTAGTAAACTCGCATGCGCGCACATACACACACACATACACACGTACGGCAGCGGAGGAGGAGGAGGAGGATGAGGAGTGCGTTTTAAAGTGTACGCGCGTGTGAAAATGGAAGGGAAATATTTTCGGTTATATCTCTGACCGATTTCATGGCCGAGAACATCGTGCATATCTCAAGTAGCGATTGCGCGACTGTGTTGGTCGGCGCTTACGCGAGTGTGTGTGTGTGTGTGTGTGTGTGCGTGTGTGTGTTTTTGTGCACGCGCAAGAGAGAGAATTTATCGTGTTTTCTGTAATACGCGCGATAGTTTTTGCGCGACGTACTTTATACTCCATTAAATAAAATCTCGCTTTTCTCCCCCTACCCTTAGCGGCGTTTTCATGGAGCGAGTTATACGCGGAAATTTACATCTCGGAGGATTTAGGAAGCGCGCCGAAAAGAGGAAGGAAGTGAGAAAGAAGAGAGGAGTAAAAAGATACGAACCGTCGACCAAGTGTAATGCGAACGGTTCCGAGAGATTGAATTCACCGCGAAGAAGTGGACTTTGAAAGTCGCCGAAAATTTCGGACGCTTTTCTCATTTTCGCGGCTCTGCGGAAAAAGATCCAGATATATTCATGCGGTAGCGAGCAAGATATATATATATATATATATATATATTAATATATCGAGCGTTGCACGTTATATCTTTCCCTCCTTTGTAAGCGCGGCGTAGTCATTAATATCCTTTTTACGTGTCTCGCCGACAAGGACGTTCGCCGCGGGACGGAACCTCCGGCGATGATGTCGCAATATCGGCGCGAAATTATTATAAGTCGAAGCGTCGTGAATTTACTTTGAGAGGCAATTTCTCCGGGGCCGGGCGGGACACAAGTGTCGCGGGAAAATGAAAACGGAAAATGACGAGAGACGGAAGAAAAACGTGAAGCCGGTTCAATGCCTCCTCCTCTCCCCCCTCTTCACTCTTGCTGCCGTAGCCATCTACTCGTCTGTCTCTTGGAGAGAGGAATACATTTAGTATAGCTCTCTTTCTTCTCGCACTCTCTTTTCCTCCTATCTTTCCCTTTCTCTCTCTCTCTCTCTCTCCCTCTCTCTCTTTCTCTCTCTTTTCTTCTCTTCTTCGTAACGTCTTAGTTACTCGAGCATTCTTTCCTCGTATTCAGCCGTCACGAAACTCGCCGTCATAACGCGGGACATTCGGTATCGTCCGACGGCATGACATTATTATAATTCGGTGCAGTATGAATTTACTATGAGCGAGCGAGGAGCCGAGAGGTAGCAATATCTGTCTTCACCGTGAGAAGCATCAAGAGAGTCAAGGGAGAAGAGAGAACGAGGAGAGAGAATCGAGAACGAGAGAGACAAGTCGGTCGTGGAAATAGAAATTTCGCTCGGCGTGAAATTTCGTCGGCGCCTGATTTTCCTCGTCCTTTCTTGAGAGGAATATGAGCGATACCTCGCGGAGAAGCGGCGAGGGGAAGGGGGAGAGAGAGAGAGAGAGAGAGAGAGGACGGTTATCGTCCAAGTTCCGCCCAAGTTTTCCGTCGGGGGCGGAGGAGGAGGAGGAGAGCAGAGGCGACGGTAAAAATGGAGGAGCCGCGGGTCGCGTACTGCGCCAAGTGAAAAAAGTTCCGGCGTGCGAGGCTTACGACGTCTGGTGACACGTGAAGGATATTTCGAGCGGATATTGATTCGCGAGTAACCCTCCGAGGAGAAAGACGAGGATGCAATATTCCTGTTCGCCGCGTGAGATTAAAATTTAATCGAGACCGCTGCAGTCACCAGTCATTTGGATTTTTCAACGCGGCCGACGACGCTGCGGCGAAACGCTGTTCCTTCTGTCTCTCTGCTTTCCTCATTTTCCTCTTTCGCGCTGGATCGCGCGGAAGCCGGGTAATTTGATTTCATTGGAAAAATCGTCGTGACAGCCAGAGTATCTCCCCCTCTTCTTCTTATCTCTGCGTTTTGCCAATTGTTTCGTTTGCGACCTAATAAAAGCGAGACATATCGGGCTGCGTTTTAAGCCGTATCATGTGGCCCATTTCATCGGATGATTCGATTCTTTTATCCGCTAATATTATTGATGCGATAAGCGCGAATAAAATGAGCAGCTTTAAGCTCGGGGAACGGCATATCGAGGAATTCGATTAAACGTGGCCGACGGGAATATGCAACAATGAGTGTTATTGATACTAATCGATCGATTAACTAGTTCGTGCCTCGGAGAGAGAGAAAGAGAGAGAGAGAGAGAGAGAGAGAGAGAGAGGGGTGGGGAGACGGAAAGAGCGGTACAGACTAGTAGCGCGTATTATAATTAATGCAATCAGAAATCCACGAGTGTTATAATCTATCGAGGGTCCATCGGCTTCGCGCGTCCGCGCACGTTCAACTATCGAGAGCGCGTTGATGCTTTATAATAATTGGAACGATGACGTGATTATGCGTCGACGGGAAGCGGGAGGGAATAACAGTGACAGAATAACGGGCGTTTTTAAAAATATCACGCGCGGCCGCGTTGGGGCGCGCAAATTCCGCAACGGTAATTGTCAGACCGACATACGAGCGGCTGCCATTTCCTTCTTCGCGGAAACGCAGCGTCATTGTTCCGATCCCGATTCCGATCGAAATTGACGGCAATAAATCCGCCAGCAAATCGGAGTCACCGGACACCTCCATTTTTCTCCGTGGAAGGGTTCTCTCCTCTCCTCCCCCTCCTTTCCAAGGCAAAAGCCCCCGGAGT